GCCTACAAATTTAATTTCACAACTGTCAACTGTTCAGGCTGCCATGCACCCACTGAAGCCCAGTATATTTGTGTGTGGTCAAGACACACAAGAAACATTGTCTTTGGATGCACAAAGAATACTTTTTGCCCCTGTGGGCAGGTCTGGAAAATACTGGTCTCCTAACTGCCACCACGCAATTCTTTTTAGAATTGATGTACCAGCTAAACCATTGAAACTTCATTCTTATGGGACATTTTGTTCAAATGTCCCATAGTCTACAGGCCGATTTCAGATGCTCTTTTTATTCCAATGGCATTACACCTGCAGAGGTTGGCTTAACAAACAAAATGTTTGATATTGTTCGCTATGAAAAGAATCAATTTTAAGTCCAGTATTGACAGAACCAAGAGGGGAGACCGCCCAGTTTGCTGACCTCAGGACTGTTTTTTTGCCAAGAGCGTAGAACTGTATGAACTGTAGAACAGTTATTGTTTCGGGTATCGAATCAGGTTGTATCTTGGCCACCTCCTTGTGTAGGTATTCCTGGCACATCCATATTGGAAGAGACCCCAGGGCAGACTAACACTTGGGGGATTATACTATACCCTATCAGGTCTGGGAATGCTGCAATCGGAACTATGTCTCTAGGAACAAGGACTACTTTGCTTAGCCTGTTGCCACAATTAGCCAGCCTTGGATAAACTTTGGAAAGTAGATGGATGAATATGGGCAATAAATCTAAAATAATAACCTATCCCACCAATCTCGCCATGAAGGGGGGAGGGTAAAGGTGGTGGAGTGTTTCGTATAACTTGGAATTACAGTCTACAATAACCTCAGCTTCAATCAGCCCACCGTGGACTTTTACAAGCTTTATCAACAGACACTTACAGCCATCCATAAACTAAATCTTTCCAACCCCATCTTCTTCTCCTGTATCGCAGCCTTATTGGACCAGTTCTTCTGTAATGTGCCATCTGTTTTTCCATATGCTTACAATCACGAAAAGGAATCAATTCTTTCAGATAACTAATTTAGCCGGCAAAATCTAGTATTCCGACCCCCAACTTTTCCCATGAGCAGAAAGGCCTGTTTTAGCAAGAGCTCAGTTCCTCCAGCCATACGAGCTTTAAGTGACCTGCACCTAAGTTATAAGTAATCCAGTCTGTGGTATGTAGAGTGTTTATCCATGTCTTTGTCTCTTTGTATAGTTTTTGTATTCTAAATAAAACACACACAAATACAAATTCTGCATGTCGTACTTGTCTGTTTGTGCTGTGTATGTGTATGACAGTGGAAAATAATTTCCTCCTTGAGGACAAATAAAAAGCAATATGTGTTAGCCTTTACGAATCCACTTTAGTTTAACCCTAGTGCACATGTTAAAGGATTCTATGGACGAACATGTATTTTTGGAAGAAATCTGTGTATGTGTGTGGATGCAGTACTTGTGTGTAGAGAGGGGCGTTCAGGCCTCATTTCCCAAAACACAAAGGATTTCATGAACACTACTATTTGCCAGAGGTCAACTTGATTCATAATCTATTAGTACTGGGTCAGGTTGTCTTTTCAGTGGCAGTACCCGGCCCGTTCCAGTTTGACATGCTAGCCCACTTGGTGCCAAGCACAGAGATGACGACTCTGCCATAGTTGTTCTAATTTAAATTATCCACTTTTTGGAAGAAGTACAGTTTTTAATTTTGTTTTATATGCTGTTAAGAAGTGATATTGGAAGTGGACAACACAGACCAGCCACAGATGCATCTGTCCATCGATACAACCAGCTGTCTAGACAGAGGTGTGCGGAATGATATACTGAACCCACCGAAACCTTCAAACAAATGAAGGATTAACATCATTTAGGATACAATTTCCCTGACGGAAGAAGGCCTCCGTCTGCTTGCTGTAGAATGGCGAGGTGTTAAGCTTTCCACTGCGACATCTATCTCCTGCCACCACCTTGAGGGCATCTTTTAAGCAAAAGAATTTAGCCATTATGTGGCATTAACCTCATTAGAAAACACTCTTTAGCTGCTCCAAGATAAAATTGATTTACAGCTGCCATTTCCACCACTGCTCTCGATCAATGGTTAAACTATCCCTTTTATGGCCCTGTGCACACACTCTGCTCTTTTCTCCCGTTTTCTTTAACTGCTCTTTAATTTCATTGCCCCCCTCCACTCTTGTCCTTGCGCCAGATATGTAGTCGCCGAGAGGAAGAGGGCTTTTTCTCGAACCCTCCATGGTCAAATATGGGACTGACTACATTGTTTGAGAGAGGATAAACACGACATGATCCCTGGCAGATTCCTTGAACCTATTAAGCACCAAGTTGCTGTCTTAGTCTTTTCTAGATGGGGGATTTTCACCACAGTCAGCTGAATTTGCGTGGGTGGTCTTAATTGAGGTTTTATCTTAACACAATGTCGTAGTGTTGTTCTTTCCAACTCTTACCAAGGTTGCTTTAGTTATTCACAATTCAGGAATGTGATTAGCCTAAGCAGCTGCAGATGTATGACCATGTTCAAAAAGTGATTTCGGGGGGGGGGGGGGGTCTTGTAGAAATATGGGGGTTAGGTTGTTGCCAAGTTGTGATTATAATTATGGAAAAGTTATGCTATAAGTAAAGCATAACGAAGTAGCCGGGACAGGAAGGTGTTATAAGAATGCAACATGATTTTAGGAATCTAACATAGCAAGGTATCCTCATACAACGGTTCGTATGAGATCTTTAAAAAGTTAACTGTAGGGCTTTGGAAGAAGCGTTACTTAAGTTAAGTGATAAATAAGTCAACGTTGACTTTTGGTTTCAATCGAGACACGAATAGTGGTTTTTGACCTCCTGTCCTGGCTGATGATGACGTGAATTACATACGATTTGATTATGTGGTTTGATTACAAATGATACTACATTACTCTGTCCCTGGAATATCAGTGCTCTATACTTACTCATGAATTATGTATGTTGGATGAGTATAAATTGTGATTATAGTGACGGTGGGCAACGAAATGATGCCATAAAAGAGAAATAAAATGAAATCCACAGTCTATGCGTTAGCACAATCTGCTGAGGAACATTGAGAGCTTCAGAGAAAGCCAGTAAGTGGACACAGAGTTCAGATTTTTTGTCACGAAAGTGTAAAAAGTCTTAAGTGATTGGCCAATGTGGCAAATTCAGGAAGTTTTGCGCAGACGACTGGGGACTTTTGGATGCACAGTATGCCACAAAGCACGGCTTTGAGCGAGCAGGGTTTCCACATGAAGTCGACGGGTACGACTGTGTAGAGCTCAGCCAAGCAGAAAATCCACAATCTATGTCGGCGTGGCCAAATGTCAGTGTATGCCCGCCCACCTCTGACAGCTCGGGTTTATGTGGACGTTTAAGCAAAACACTCAACGCTGTATTTCTTTGACAAATCAATACGACCACCATTTCAGCTCTCCTTCCTTCCCTCCCTCCCTCCCTCAGTCTTGTGCTAGCTCCTTTCTCATCTCCCTCTGTCTGGGAGAATTGATCCGCATGGATGGAATGATATCAACCGACGGATAGAGTGATACGCCCCGCTCCCTCCTTCCTGCCCTCCTTTTCACCGCACTTTTGACACATAAATAAAATATGTGGCCTTTTTGTTTCGATTCGCCGCGGCGTTGGTTCTGAGAAAGGAATATGGTGCACGGGGGCTCACACGGAGCTGTCGGTAGACAAGAGGGAGCTGAGAGTCGGCTGGTTGCCATCACTCACTGTTCACAGGCGCCCTACAAAATCCCCTGAACTTTCCGACACACGCATTTGTTAGAGTGACACAGTCAGATTCTAAAGAATGGCATTAGAAAATAATGTGAGTGCTAAATTATTCAGGCTTTTTTTTTTTTTGCCATAATGCTTCACTTTACAACCACACACAGCTGCACACACACTAACACACAGACATATACTGTGTGTATGTGTATATATATATTATGGCAGATCCATTTAGTGTCAGCGTCCAAATTTGGCAAAGGAAAGGATGAGAGAAGGTGCTGTGAGGGGGAAAAAAGTTTGCTAACTCTGTCGTGCTACTGTATCAAGATGCCAAACCGGCACTGCAGTCAATCCCCACTTTAATATCAACCGAAGTAAATCACAACCGGGGCCACATGTTTTAGGGCCCCCTCCCTCCGCTATTAACAGATGCACGTTACATGTTCATCCGCACCTTGGCTAGATATTCCTGACATGACAATAAGGCATTCCCACAACTGCGCAAGAAATAGATGCCGGGTGAACTAACCTCGGGTCCTACGGAGCATGCCAGAGAGCCAGGCCCGGGTCTCGCAGGCCTGCAGGTTTTCCGCTCCGCTCAGTCAGACGGACTCTGACTTCCTCCTCACACCTCCCTAGGCACCTCATTGCGCTGCATCTGAAGCCCTCGAACGTATAGGTGGAGTCGCACACACGCGCGCATACCTACATACCTGTTACATAATCTGCAGTGGGCACCTGCTCACTGCACAGCGTCTGGTCTAAACGCCGACTGACAAAAGACAGACGGACAGCTTGGACTTAAAGACCCTACGACAAACGGATAACTGATGGGATTAAATAGGAATTATCTGTTGATATGCTCGTGCAGGTCCTCTGTGCATCCGCGCACAACGGATGTCCCAGCCAACTGCTGTGTGTTTGTTTGTGTGTGTGTGTGTGTGTGTCATTATCATGATCATCCTCATCATCGCAGTGATCGTCATCATCACCCCACACAGATTGCATCAGCGCGTGGATAACCGAAAACCTGCTGCATCAGGCAGTTCTCCTCCTAGCTCCTAGTCTTTTTCTCCCCCAATATTCGTCCCTTCCTCGCTTCCTCTCTCCTCCACCTGAGGTAGCTTTCGCCACGTTCACGCAAGACCGCCAATAAACACCTGGAAACCCTGAATGATTCCACAGCTAGTGTGCCCTCTGCCTCCCTCTCCAGCCCCAAGTCTCCTTTCCCTTACCCCCCTCCCCATTTCCCTCTTCCCCGAAAGCTCTTAGTCACCTCAGTCGGTGGGTGGGGGGAGTTTCTTGGACAGCGTGACAGTGTGCTTAGCCCCGTTAAGCCAGCCCTCAGCTTCAGCTCCGCTCCTGGTCGGCACCGATCAGGGAGTCCTGGGAAAGAGAGAGACAGAGAGAGAAGATAAGGAAAGTGCTGAGTTCACCGCCACCACCGCTCTCCCCTTCCCTCCCTCCCCTCCTCTCTCTTTGCTTCGAGCATCCCCTCGTCGAGAAGGGGTCTCCCCCCTGCAAAAGAGGAGGGGGAGGTGAATCGACTGGTTCATCGCTGACTGTGCACCAATAACCTGAAGCTCTCTGCTCCTTCTCCTCCTCCTGGTTATCCACCAACTTGTCTAAATCCTGCTTTTTATTATTATAAGTATAAAGAGGATAAGTCTGCTGATATCCCATTTTTTTGATTCTTTAATGTTATTCTTTAATGTTATGCACCACCCACCATGACAAATTCCTTGTATGTGCAACATACATTGGCAATAAACGGTTTCTGATTCTGATTATACAACGTTATATTCTAAAATATGAATTTTGTATTTTTTCCAAAATCCCTTATGTAAAATCTTTTGACTCCATTATGTCAACAAAATGAAACAAACATTTTGAACCTGCCTTTATCCAATGTTCAGATTTCTGTTCCAGAAATGTATGCAAATGAGCACATATTTAATAAGAGAATGCATCATTTGCATATTTAGACTTACAATACATTCAGAGAACCTGAGGAAAAACAGATAATTGTCTGAATGTAAGTAACCGACTGGGGAAGTTTCATGGTGACATCTATTAGTTGAAGCGCTGACTGTTCACAGGTAATGTCTCACACACACTACAGGTCAGTGAGTGTTGGTGGGCTTCTTCAGCTCGAGGTTCAGGCTGAAAAAAGCAATGATAATTACTATCATGGTGTACTGTATGTTGATTAATAACAGACATGTTAATGATAAGTTGAACCAAATAGTAGGTCTTCTGTCGGTAAAGCATGTGAAGGGAACAAAGCTCTCCGCTCACAGCCAGTTGTTTTAAACATCTGAACTCCCCCTGCACATTCAAAAATAAATACAATACAGCTCCTGCGTAGATCTGCAGTCACACATTCCATGCAATAGATATCCAGGTCATTAAGCAACATTTTGACACCTCTTGTTATTTACTACACCAACCGCTTTCCCACCTCGTTTAATCAGACTTTACTAAAACCCGCTGACTCAGACAGAAACCTTCTCTCTCTCTCTCTCTCTCTCTCTCTCTCTCTCGCTCTGTTTATGTTTATCTCCTCGGCTCCATTCTGCTCTCTTGACTTTCTCTCTCTCTCTCTGTTTCTCTTTGCTTTCCTTACTCATATTTTCCAAAACGTCTATTTCACATGTTCCTGGGGTTTGGATGGGGCCGAGCCGCAGAAACATCACAAAAGATCAAATGAATCGAGTGCTTTCCCCGCCCGACCTAAAAGGCTACGGTTATCAAAGGCAGTAAAAGGTCTCGGCTATGAGTTGCAGCCACCACATGCTGAGCGGAAGTTGCATTATCGCGGGCGGTCAGGTGGTAAACTTTGCGATTTAGATGCGTTTTACCAAAGCAGCCCTCACATATATTATATTTAAAAGATTCAAAGTGGAACACGCTGTTTCTTTTTGCCTTAGAAGTGGTTTACCTTCGATTTCCACTGCTGGGAAGGGATCACTTGAGAGAAGGAGGGGGAGGCGGATTGAAGGGAATTAGATGTGGCTCAATACAAGTTATCTTTAATGGAGGGATCCTGGGTGAAGGGATTCAGGACGGAAAGAAAAAAACCTAGATGTAAAGTGTTGACAGCTGTGTTTGGTGCGGTCCGACTCTGGGGTCAGGTGTCGACGAAAACACACACACGCGCACGCACACACAAACAAACAAACAAATTCGCCGTCCCTCGTTTTTTAATGGGAGCTGGAAGTAATGTCGTTCTCGTCACGACGGCCATCTGATGTCAAATTTCACACAGCGGCGGGACCCTCTGCAAGCTGCTCTCTACACCAGCTCTATGGCACCGAACAAAACCACCGCGCACACAAAAGGTGTCCCAAAGCTACTGTCATGTGTACTCTTTCTCCCCCCTCCCCCCCAACGTTTCCTGTCTAACTCTCCCTCCTCACACACACACACACACACACACACACTGGGATAAGTCAGGAGGAAATGGATGCCCATGTTTTGTGGGACCACCTGTTCATCCTGGATACGAGTCTAAGAGCCCAGTAAGGGTTAACCCTCTTTGTGAGAGGGAGCCAGGATTGTGTGTGTGTGTGTG